GAAACTGTAATCAGAAATCTTCCAGCAAACAAAAGCCCAGGACCAGATGGCTTCACAGCTGAATTCTACCAAAAATTTAGAGAAGAGCTAACACCTATCTTACTCAAACTCTTCCAGAAAATTGCAGAAGAAGGTAAACTTCCAAACTCATTCTATGAGGCCACCATCACCCTAATTCCAAAACCAGACAAAGATGCCACAAAAAAGGAAAACTACAGGCCAATATCAGTGATGAACACAGATGCAAAATTGTTAAGATATTATGTGACTTTAAATTTGATTAAGGTAAACAATGTCAACGATGGGACTGGTGAGAGACACAGGTGGGATCCCCAAGGTCGTGGTAATCCGCCACTTCGTAACCTAAGCTATGGACACAGAGTTGTGCGTTTTATCTGTTGTGTTCTTTTCTCTTACCCATCTTCGTATCTGCTCAGTGTTATGAATTAGCCAGGAGAGAGGTTTGTGTGATGAGCCAGTTGCTGTTCAGTCACTACGTCATGTCCGACTCTTTGTGACCTCCTGGGCTGCAGCACGCTGGGCTTCACTGTCCTTCGCTATCTCCTGGAGTTTGCTCAAATTCATGTGTATTGAATTGGTGATACCGTCCAACCATCTCATGCTTAGTCTCCCCCTTCTCCTCCTGCCCTCAATCTTTCCCAGCATCAGGGTCATTTCCAATGAGTTGGCTCTTTTCGTCAGGTGGCCGAAGTATTGGAGACAGTTGAATGAAATGTAATACTGCTTTCAAGGTGCTTATACTGCAGTGAAGGAAGTAGAAATGTCCTTGAATGATTAAAGTTCAAGGGAGGAACTGAAAAGCAGCTAGGAATCTTGCACAGCCAGCCAAGTGAGAGGAGGGGGCAGACAGCGAAATGGGGCTCATTAAGCTAACTGAGAAGAATTGGTGAAAGGCGTGGCCCCGACAAGGGATGAGTAGTCTGTCTAGTTCACAAGTTGAAGAGACCAGTTTCCGGTAGAAAACTGAAAATAAAAACAATGATTGTATTGTTTGCCTACTGTAGTTCTCATTTCCTAGAAAGACTGATTGGAAGGGCAACAGGTTCACTTGCAGATATTCCTCCCTAACAATCTGCCCTCTTTAGATGCGATATGAAAGCTGGAGCTCGGTGCAAGTCTTGTCCACGAAACCTAGCTGAGGAGCAATAAAGCAGGACTTGGGATTTTATGTTTCCCATACGAATTCAAACCTTTTCACAGATGCAGTGTAGATCTTTGAACTGCAGGGGCCATCCCTGTCCCTCACTGGCTATTAGATGTTTTAGATAAAGGAAAAACTCAAATACACATCGAGAGAAAATACATCTGTAGTTAAGAACAAGAGCATCGCTAGGAATCTGAGAGTCACAAGGAGAGTGTGTTAGTCATAAAGAAAACCTTCCTTTATGCACTCCTTCTTTAATTGGGAATGACTTGGGTACCATTACACAGGTTCTCTGTCCTACAGCTTCCAGATTTACAATGATTACCTAACATGATTGATCAATAAACTATCCAATAACTCATCAGGGTGGCTGGAGGGTAAGGTACTTTGCATTTTGTGATTGAAAATCCTCTCAAACTATCACTTGTAACTTTGATCTTATTCTAAACCTTTATCAATGATGTTGGAGATTTATTGGTTGAATTTGGCTAATGGAATCTCCAACAAGTCAACTGCAATGTTTCCCCTGAGACTTGTACTCTAAACAGTGCAGGTATTGTGATTGTTCCAGTGGTTAGAAAACCTGGATTCTAACTGTGGGTCTACAACTGCTTGACCATGGGAACTTCAAGATACTTTGCCTCTCTGAGATCAGACATCCTCTAAATAATGGAAACAGCACTACTCCACCTCCTAACTCCCCAAGGGTCTTGGGAAAATCAGAAATGAAAGTAGCATTTCTTTGAAAACTAGAAGATTACACACACACACACAAATAATATTATTTTTCCTAATTGAACAATTTAGGAAATTAATTTACTTATTTAGTTTTATTAGGTATAGTGGATATAAAAGAAACAGTACATGTTTAAAATATAAGTTGAAAAGTCTTAGCACACACACACGTATATACCAAAGTTTCTTCATATTCTTAGATAATTTTTGCTCTTGTCTGTTTCCCTTCTTCCTTTCTAATCTAAAAGATTCTTCTTTCTTTTCCCTCTCTAACTGCATTGGCTAGGACCTCTAGTATAATGTTGAATAGGAGTGGTGAGAGTGGACATCTTCTCTTTGTTTCTGATCTCAGAGAGAAAGACTCCAGTCTTTAGCCACTGAGTATGATATTAGCTGTAGGTGGTTTGTAGATGTTCTTTATCAGGTCAAGGAAATTTTGTTCTATTTCTAGTCTGTAAACAGTTTTCTTTTAATCAGGAATATCAGTTTTTATCAGATGTTGAATTTTGCCAAGTAGTTTTTCTGCATTTATTGAGGTGATCATGTAGCGTGTTAATATATGAATCATATGATTGATTTTCAAATGTTAAATCAATTTTGTATTTCTAGAATAAACCCCACTTGGACTTGATACCCTTTTAATATATTGTTTGATTAAATTGGCTACAACTTTGTTAAGGATTTTTACATCTATATTCTTAAGGATGTTAGTCATCTTTCTTGTAATATTTTTGTCTGGTTTTGGTATCCAAGGAATGCTGGCCTCATAGAATGAATAGCTGAGTATTCCCTCATCTGGAATTTCATTGATGAGTTTGTATAGAATTAATATTATTTCTGCCTTAAGTATCAGACCTGCAAATGGCCCCCCACCCACCCACCTCCACTCTGCAACTGAGTCATCTTTTCCTGTTTCTTTGCCTGTCTAGCACTTTCTGATTGGATAACAATAATAGTTTGCATTTTACCTTGTTAGAATCTGGATATTTTGTGTTACTATGTATATGTCTGAGCTTTGCTCTGGAATGCTGTTCATTTCCTTCAAAAGGATTGGATCCTTTTGTGGCTTGCTTTTAGCTTTGTTGACTGGGTCCAAGCAGATCCCCTTTTGAAGTTTTTTTCACTACTAAGGCAGTACTACATGAGTCTTTAAACTGATAATAAAAATTTTAAATTTATCTTATTGAACTATAGTTGATTTACAGTGCCGTGTTAATTTCTACTGTACAGTAGAGTGATTCAGTTATATGCACACATATATGTTCTTTTTCATACTCTTTTCCATTATGGTTTATTACAGGATATTAATATAGCTCCCTGTGCTATACAGTAGGATCATATTTATCCATCCCATATGTAAGAGTTTGTATCTGCTAACGCAAACTCCTACTCCATCCCTCCTCCACCCGCCCACCC